GATGGGGGTGCGAGGGTCACCACGAGAGGCTCCTACAGCGACGATGCTCTTCTCCGCCGCCAGGAGGGACTTCTCGAGGAGGTCGACAGTGAGAGTGGTGGGACAGACTGAGAGGAAGTGGTCCCTGACTACGTGAAGGGAGTCAGGGAGGCGTGTGACTATGTAATAGAGAGTGATGTACATGGGGGGGGGGTTCTTGGCGCAGAACTCAGCAGGAAGGGCGGCGCGGTAGCGAGTGTCACTAGTGCGGAGGTGCGTAATGAGGTCAGCGACAGTGGGAAAGGCAGCAAGGTCAGGAAAGAGGTACGGTAGCATGAGGCGGCTCAGGGCAGCAGTGGCAGGGGAAGAGTAGCGCGCAACTACAGCGTCGTACAAGGTCTGAGCACTCTTGTACTGACTAAAGTGCGCGCGCTCAGTGGTAGGCAGGTGGCGACGCACAGCAAGACGTGCAGCAGCATCGCGGGTGGCCCACTGAGAGCGAACAGTGGGGTCAGCATCAGTAGCAGGGGCAGGAGAGGCGCCAGAGGTGAGGTCAAAGAGGGAAAGACCGTCCGTCCTATCGCACTGTAAGAACAGCTGCAGGTCGTCGACCCAGACCTCAAAGTCAATGGCTCGACCCTCAGCGTCAAAAGCGAGGACACTAGGGGTAGCCATGACGACGACAGTGTAGCAGTGCAAGCAGTAGGGGAAGGGCACGCAGTAACAGTGGTGCTGTGCTCACCAGGCAGGGCAGGTCGGGCGGCTCGGCAGTAGGGCGGCCCGGCGGCTGGGCGGCTCGGCGGCTCGGCTGCTGGGCGGGTCGGCTCCCGGGCGGCTCGGCGGCAGGGCGGCTCGGCGGCAGGGCGGCTCGGTGGCTCGGCTCCCGGGCGGCTCGGCGGCAGGGCGGCTCGGCAGCAGGGCGGCTCGGCTCCCGGGCGGCTCGGCTGCTGGGCGACTCGGCGGCAGGGCGGCTCGGCGGTCGTAGGCGGCGGGGCCGGTGAGGATAGGCGGCGGGGCCGGTGAGGATAGGCGGCTGGGCCGCGAAGTGGGGCGGCGGGGCCGCGTAGGTTAGGGCGGCGAGGCCGCGAAGGCAAGGGCGGCGAGGCCGCGTAGGTGAGGGCGGCGGGGCCGCGAAGTGAGGGCGGCGGGGCCGCGAAGTGAGGGCGGCGGGGCCGCGTAGGCAAGGGCGGCGAGGCCGCGACGTGAGGGCGGCGAGGCCGCGAAGGCAAGGGCGGCGAGGCCGCGTAGGTGAGGGCGGCGGGGCCGCGAAGTGAGGGCGGCGGGGCCGCGAAGGTGAGGGCGGCGGGGCCGCGTAGGCAAGGGCGGCGAGGCCGCGTAGGTGAGGGCGGCGGGGCCGCGAAGTGAGGGCGGCGGGGCCGCAACGTGAGGGCGGCGGGGCCGCGCAGGTGAGGGCGGCGGGGCCGCGTAGGCAAGGGCGGCGAGGCCGCGACGTGAGGGCGGCGGGGCCGCGACGTGAGGGCGGCGCAACGGGCCGCTAGGGGCGACACGGAGGGTCGCTAAAAAAGAAAGCGCGCCTCGGGGCGCGCTTCGGTGGGCCCTAGAAACAGTCCCTAGGAGGGGACCTGCTCTGATTCCATGTGAAAAGAAGAAAGCGAATGAATGAACTATGAATGAAGTGAGTACATATAGGAAACCCTAATTGGGTTGTACCCCCTATGGGATACCCCACTATAGCCTACACAACAGCATAAGCTATATATATGTTCTGACACCGACCGCATCTGGGTACCGGGCTACACATTACTACGGAAATTACTACGACAGGAGGCATACGACGGAGTTACCTCAGGCCATTTCGGAGTAGAAAAAACCCGGCAGCAGCTACAGCGGTATTACTACTGGCCCGAAATGCTGACCGACGTGCAACGACACGTGGCATCGTGTCCCATCTGCCAACTCATGAAGTCGTCACGGAAGCGGCCGGCAGGACAGTTGCAGCCGATACCACCCCCAGAGCGTGCTTGGCAGCAGGTGACGATGGATTTCGTCACGGGGTTACCGGGTGGAGCAAGTGGGAACGACGTGATCCTGGTAGTCGTCGACCGGCTGACGAAGATGGCACATTTTGCAGCCTGCATGAAGTCAATTACAGCCGAAGAAACAGCTCGCCTATTCATCTCCACCGTCGTTCGATTACACGGGATACCAGTAGCAATAATTAGGGACCGTGACACGAAATTCACCAGCAACTTATGGCGGAACATATGGCTGCATTTCGGCACGGGACTACAGTTTAGTTCTTCGTACCACCCTGAAACCGACGGACAGACAGAATGGAAAAACCAGACCATGGAGCAACTCATTCGAGCCACGTGCGACGACCCGACCACCTGGGAACAGCAACTGCCACTCATCGAGTTCGCTTACAATAACTCACCATCCGCCACGACCCAACAGTCTCCGTTTTACCTAAACTATGGACAAGACTCTACATTACCCATGACCCCGAATCCCGACAACCCAGTACCACGCGCGCAACAGTTTGCAGAAATTTTACAGGCAGCACGGACACGGGCAGCCGACGCAATTAAAAAAGCCAACGTCATCGCTAAACGCAACGCCGACCGCCACCGCAGACCTGTCACTTACCAGCCCGACGACCTAGTTTTACTTGACACCCAAAACCTCTGTCTGCCCATCACCCCGAAACTCCGCCCCTGATATTGTGGGTCATTTCGCATCAGCCACATGATCACACCCGTCATTGCCCACCTCCTCCTCCCCGCTGGCTGGTACATCAGCCCGTCCTTCCACGTCGGCCTACTTCGGCCTTACGTACCATCCACCAGCCAACTGCCTCGCAACCGCCCAGCCAGCATGACACGACCGCCGACAGAACCAATCATCACGCCTGGAAAAATCTTGCGCCACCGAGTTCGCGACCCACGGGGAGCTGGAAGGATCAAATTTCTGACCCGCTGGAAAGATCGCACGCCCACTGAAGACAACTGGGTTCCAGTGGACAGAGTTGAAAACCACCTCGCCCTCACCGAGTATCTGCGCAGCTGAAATTTCCGGGATGTACACGCGCTTTCGTAAGGAGGGCCTCCTTGTGGGGGAGGGGGGGGGGGGAGTGTAAGGAAAAATCATTTTCCTTACTTCGCGTCCCTGCTCAGCGCGTACACCACTGTTCCCGCCAACAGCACCCAGCAGTAATCCGTTGCCACTCGCGACACTCGCCTCGACACTGTTCCCGCCACTGTTCACGACGCGACCCAACCACACGGTTCGGTTGGTAACCCGCGCTCCGGACCTCCGCCTCGACATTTCCCAACCTCGGCGCTAGGCCCGTCGCGCACCCCAATTTCCACGCATTACCGTTACCACTGTAGTTTCGCTATATATTCTTCGCTCATGCCTTCGCTCATTGTAGTGATGCTTCGATAGTGCAATTCTAGTTCGCTCACTCAATTGCACTCGTAACACTCTATCAGAACTTCTAGCAGTACAGACTCTTACAGCGGCAGATGTTTTAGCTCGCATGTGAAGAATGCTATCTCACATGCAAGCCTCGTTCACTCCCACATTCCCGATCACATCGGCCTTGTCGCTTTCCCTTCCCCTCACCCCGTCCAGCCCCCACCAGTTCCATCCCTCACCCCCACCCCCTGTTTCAACGCCCACCCCCATTTTCCACGATGGTCCCTCCCTATCTTTCCCCCTGCCCGAGATTCAAGGTCCCATTCGTGGCGGGTCGAGCCGCGACGGAGAACCACCAATCCGCGAACACCGATTCCTCCATCCCCCCACCCCTCCCGTCCCGGCACCTGAGCGAGCAAACCCCAACTTACCCCTACCCAAACCCAACGCACCCAACCCAACCCGCCCTAACCCACCACCACACTGGCTATTTCACCACTCGGACCAGTCGACACGAAAGAAGGCCCCGCCACCAGCAAGGCTTGCTGTGCAACAGAACTTGTGAATGTGAAGTGACAAGACGACGAGATGAGTGAGAGGAGAGCACTACCGTCCCCAGGACCAGCCCGTCGTGCCGCCATAGACATGCACCTACGCCCATTTTCTGGGCGTCAGTCATGGCCGTTCGAGGGATCTGCGACGAAACGGGACGGAGCGAAAGCCACCAGAGACTGGCGGTTGGAGTTGGACGGATCCGCCTGGAATCACTTCCTTGCCTGTTTCTTCCCCATGCCACGTCGTACTCGTGCGCGAACGACTGAACACGATGAGATTTTTATTCCGACCACTCGGCTTGGGTGGGTCGACCTAGCGCTGACCAATCGAACATGGCTGGCGCTTTTGCAAAACGGCCTCGCAGTTTGGAGTGCATGAACGGTATCCTCCCTTTTCTGACGATTCCGGCTATTTTCAGACGTTAGGAGGCGCTCCGTACGGACTGCGTACGGCAAGTTAGGTGTTAACTGAACGTTGTTTGGCGTTACATATGTACACGTACGATGCGTTGAAACCCGGCGTTTCTCGACAGGGGGAACTTTCGCTCGGGTCACCTACTGTGGTGCCTTCACCAACTGCCGCACACTCTCTCCAGTCGCACCTGCGAGGAACGAGCTAGCTGCGGCCCTATTTTTAGCGCCTTTGTCCCTTCAATTCCTTCGTAGAAGTACTCCTGTTGAAGCTGGCTATCCCGAGCGCACCTCACTCACGGCTTCTGATGCTAATTTTCTCCTCAGTATCTCTACTACCCCACAAACAAACGTTCCTCGACCGGGCCTTGAAAACATAAGAAAAAGGCTCTTCCCCACAAGCAGTTGCTCTAGGTACGTCTGGTGTTCTTCTCGCAACTGCAGCCGGAGATCGCCACGTCAGCACTGCGGAAACACGCAAATCCTGTCTCTCCCCCAGCTCGGCTGCCAGGCGAGCTGAGCAGTGCTCCCAGCGCTCTACTGCGACTAGCTCCCGAATCCCGCGCCTGCCTGGAAATCTGCCGCATCTCACTTCTAGTGCTTTAACACCGCGACGACGCAGCGATGGTGGAAGAATCGCAGCAGCCCGACTCCGGGCCGCAGCCCAGAACGATCATGGTAGCCGTTAACGGGAGCGACGCGAGCGACGCGGCTCTTCTGTTCGTCCTGAAGTCGATACTCTCAGATCAAGACAAATTGATCGTAATACATGTCAGACCTACAGGTATGCCCTTATGCTCTGCATGTTCCCCTTTCTTGTGTGCTTTATGCTGCTGCTTTTCGTTTGCCTTTCCCTACCATCCCCATTCCTCGTATACACTTACTGCATTTACATCCCCAACCCGCGTCGCATTTCTCGCCAGATAAGGACCTCACATCGCTCTACAGTGGCTTCGCGGATCCAGCGGCGGAGATCAAATCCCACCACGCGTTCATCCGCGACACAATCAACGTCGCCGCAAAGACCATACACTCTCTGGGTTTCCCCGCGGCGCGCGTCAAAGTGGAGGAGGGTGATCCGAGGAAGGTTATACCCAAGGTCGCCGAAGCAGAGAAAGCTGATTTACTCGTTCTTGGATCACAGGGGAAACGAACATTACATGTAAGTACTTCACTGCTCTTTAACCGTACGAGTCACAATGTTGCTTGCTGAGAGGGTGTTTGATTACTTTCCATTCATGCATCAGCGTGTTTGGCATTTTAAGACGGTTATGGTGCAAGAACCGTGAATGCTAATCCATCGCAGGACGCCATTAGGTAATATTCTTGTCAAGCGTTCTTGAACATCACACTTATCTTCTCCCCTGCCTCTTCCGCTTTTCCCCTTTCTTGATTGTCCTCTCTGGTTCCAGTATATGCTGGCGGGTGATGTGGCATCTCATTGTGCGAAAAAGTGCAGTTGCGCGGTTATCACGTACAAATCAATCAATGGAGGGTCAGTGGCGTTTAGTAAACGAGCAGTGCAGGAGCAGAAGCGCCTAGGGATCTCTCTTTCTCAGTTCACACGGGAGGCTGACGATGCTGACAGTGAAGTAGCAAATTGATAATAAGTGAACGTGACCGAAAGGGAAGGGATTGATGAAGAGGCGCATGCCCAGTTCGTTTTATGCATTCCCAAGTTGCATGATGTCAATTAGATCATGTGGATAGATTTAGGTGATGGTCTGCTAAAGTTTGCCTTTCTGTTACACCTAATGCTGTATAATAACGAATATAAACAGCATCGCACTGGTGAAAGTGCTTGTATAGAAGCCCATTTCCCTAGCTTGTAACGTCCTTCCTTTGACGAACGTTCGGGTCATTCGAAAGCAGCTTTGGTTTGGGCCATTTCCCTTGCTTGATTATTTGTTTCCTTGAGATAACAATTCTCGAAGCAAAACATCGCAAGTGGCAAAAGGTTGAACAGAAGACTACACAAGATCAGATGCCCACATACAACAGTTTCGTCAAAAGTTTTAGCCCGAAAGGGGTACCATCGGTGATGCCCGAACCGACCGAGCCTTGGAGGGTGTGGAGGCTTGGTTGGGAATGCCAAATAAAACGTTTTGTCTCCATTCCTCCAGCCCACACCACCTGTCCAGCAGTGCACCTCCCTGAACCGTAGACGAAACCCCTGTTTTTCCCAAATCACCAAGTTCGGCCTTGACTGATTGAATCGCTTGCAAAACCCCCTTCCTTCCGCCACCATATCACCTGACCTTCCAGATAGCTGTCAACGACAGCCGTCGATCATGCAACCTCCACCTTCTCAGCTGCAACCGTCTCTTTTCAACCGTCGATTATCACCTCCGCATATTACTCTCCATCCGTTGATTCCGGGACCCCCATCTTTCCCCACCGCACACGAAACCCCTTCTCTTCCCCAACCACCGGCTTTCACCTTCGCTCACCAGTCGCCAGCAGATGCAGTGTGAAACCTGTCCGAAACCCCTTTTCTTCCGCCATCACCGAGTTTCACCTTCTATCAGTTGTTCCTTACAGATCTAGCATCGCACCTTTCTGAACCGTGTAGGAAAACCTTGCTCTTGCCATCACCGAGTTACACCCTCTCGTATCCGTCCTACGGTAATTAACCCCTTGGTACCGTATCTAGATACTTACCGCCAAGTTTAGCCGTTTGGTACCCCGGAACAACCTCCTAACATTCCTAATCTATGGCGCTTCAGCCTCACGCTACGAACGAAGGGTTTCAGCCGCCCAACGACGCGCTTGAAGCTCAAGTTGCTAACGATGCGCTGCAACCGCACCAAGCCAACGTTGACGGCTCCCTAACCCTATCACTAACACCCGTGCCCAAGGCCGAGAAATCAAAGGTCCTAAATGGAGCAGCAGCGGAGCGTTACAAGCTCCCCATGGTTGTCAATTCCCTCCCGTCCGATCAATCCACGGACTCTGTCCCAGGGAAACGGCGACCGAATCTTGTGACCGGGCTTCACGGCGTGAAGGTCCTATACGGCCGGTTTCAAAGCTCCATCGATTTTGACGGCCAACGGCACACGCTGGGGACGTGGGACGATCCGATGGAGGCTGCGAAGGGATACGCCGCCGCGGCGTATATGATTGTCCACCTGGGCGTGCGCGCCGTGTCGGCTATCCTGACGGAGGAGGAGCAGGCGTGCTTGAAACGAATGTCGCACGACGATTTCATAACGATTCTGAAGTTCCCCGGCGCGTGGAAGCAGTGGCAGCGGTGGGAGGAGCTCATGCCGCGGTGGCGCGCGCACTACGAGAACCTCGCGCGCAAGCACGGGGAGATGGACACCGTGCGCATCGGGCGGAAGAAGCGCAAGGGGAAGGAGCAAGCCCTTGCGCCCGTGGGGAAATTTACAGCCGCCGCCGCGATGAACGGCCTGCAGACGCCTATGTTCGCCCTGGACCCAGGCATGCACGTGGAACAGGGGATGGTGGGGGAGGCAGTTGGGGTAGGGGGGGTTGGAGTCGTAGGAGGGGTGGGAGGGTTGGGAGGGGTTGGAGGGGGAGAAGTTGGAGGGGTAGGAGGAATGGGTGCGGTTGGGGAGCAAGGAGTACTGGAGAATGGGTATGCTGGAGGGGAAGGGGAGGAGGAGACTGGTAGCAGCATTGAGGGAGGGCAGGCTTCAAGGAAGAGGGCGAGAGGACGAGTGTGATGATGAAGTTGGAGAGGGGTATAGGAAGGATCTGAGTTGGGAAAGAGTAGGTATGCCAAGGATGTTGGCAATAGGGAGAATTGTGGATACAGGGAAGATGCCTGTTTGGGTACTGAGAATGAAGAACAGAGTGGGTGGCAGGATTTGCAGTCAGGAAGAGTGTGCTTGAGCCAAATGCTGAATTTGATTTGTACCACTAATAGTTCCCTTTTTATTTCTTGATGGATGAAGCTAGGGTCGTAGTACACCAGTAATTTGCATAATCAATATGATTGGCTAGTTTACCTGTCTATTTCCATTATGACGATCTCAGTTCATGTCCATTTTGATGTGTTATATCTCTTTGTCGAGACTGCCCGAAACGATACTAACGGGAACTGCTCCTCCAACACGTGCCCAGTTGCACCAATAACATGGAACCAGACGGGAATGTCAATGTGGAATTCTACCAATCGGGTGTGCCCGGCGGCACAGCACATCAGAACCTTGAAGAATATATGCCAACAAGGTTTCCCGCCAAGACATTCTTCAGGATTCGAGCTTTCACTCATATAACCATAGCTTCTCGTGAGACAAAATAAAAATAACCTGTGATAATTCATAAAACACGACTGAAAGCAGGCGAAACTGTAGTTTGGCTGATAGTAAGAGAGAATGCTGATGTGAGGAGTTCTTCCATCCATGAGGTTCAAACATTTTACAATAAGGCACCTGCATTGAGTACGTGATGAGTGGCTCCGCGTCATTGGTTCTTCCGACGTGCTTTCATCAGAATGCAGGAAGCTGAGTATTCTGTTCAGCCCGAATGAGGGTGATGGAGTAGAACACTGACTTACCGGTCGCCGTCAGCAGATCATTGACGCTTTGACGGCCGTCAGCAGGTCATTGACGCATTGACGGTTCTTCTCGTCGACCATCATGGCGGAAGCAAGCCTTTCGCATGGCTTTGCCAAGGGACGCTGGCTCTCTCTCATCGGCTCGATGTGGTTACTCGCGTGCGCGGGTAACAGTTACAACTTCGCCATATACTCGCCGACCATCAAGGCACGTCGCAGTGCCGCTGCTGTTGCTAACTCACCGGGCACATAACACCGTCCGCAACCTCCTTCTCCTCGCGTTTCCTCTCATGGCAGTCTCTCATCCCCCTCGTACCTTTCCTGGCTGCACAGGATATGCTGGTGTACCTCTGCCTGGTAGCAGCCTGGGTGTGGAACCACACACGCGCTTGTGAGCACACGGAATGATCGTCAGACACAGTCCGCTGCTGTTTGCCTGCTCTCGTGTATGCGTGCAGGAAGTTCTGGGGTACATAAAGCGTGCTCTGAAACGCGTTCCCCTTGTGACGGGAGACGCAGTGTGCTGCCCTTTCTTTGCCCTTTGCCGGCTCCCATCAATGCCAGGAGGTGCTGGGTTACAACCAGCACGTGGTGACGACACTCGGGGTGGCCAAGGACGTAAGCATGTTTTGTCACGTGAAAGACCCTCTCTTTCCGTTTGCCTGCTCTCATGTGTGCGTGCAGGCGGTGCTGGGGTACAACCAGCAGGCGGTGACAACACTGGGAGTGGCCAAGGACGTGGGCGACAACATGGGGCTACTCGCAGGGCTGCTTGCGGACATGGTGCCGCCATGGCTCGTCATTGCTGTTGGCACTCTGCTGGTCCGTTCACTACTCTATTGATGCTCAATAGTCTGCTGGGCATTGACACTGACACTGACACTGACATTGTTATTGGTAGTGATTATGGCATTGATGTTGACATTCACACTGACACTGACATTTGCATTGGCATTGCCATTTCCATTCACGTTCACATTGGCATTCACATTGCCATGGCCATATCATTGCCATTGCCATCACCATTCCCTGCCATAGCTACAGCCATAGCCGTAGCCATTGCCACTGTTCCCATCCCCACTGCCATTGCTATTCCCATTCCCAATGGCACCAGCAATGTAAGTCCATCACGTTCAGATGCTGCCAGCGCCTTCATACCGCCTCATGCCCCTACCTCTCTCCCTGGCAGCGATCTCCAGGCCTCGTCTCACCTGTGGTCCGTGCCTGCTCATCTGTGTGGCCTTGTCCACAACATTTCTGCCTCTTTCCCCCCTCCGCGCCTCCCTGCCTGTCTCTAGGTGCCTCTGCCCCTCGCTGCCTCGTGTGACCCTCTCTGCCCCATGCGACCGTCTGTGCCCTGTGTGATCCCTCTCTCCCGCGTGTGATCCCTCTCCCCTCACCTGGCAGGGCTTCGTGGGGTACGGCGGCCTGTGGCTCGTGCTCAGTCAAAGGATAGCCGCGCCACCCTTCTGGCAGGTCAGTTACCCGATGGGGCTTGTTTGTGATCTGCCCAACAGGGTTCGTGAGCTGCCCAAGGGGGTTTGTGAGCTGCCCAACAGGGTTCGTGAGCTGCCCAACAGGGTTTGTGAGCTGCCCAACAGGGTTTGTGAGCTGCCCAACAGGGTTTGTGAGCTGCCCAACAGGGTTTGTGAGCTGCCCAACAGGGTTTGTGAGCTGCCCAAGAGGGTTTGTGAGCTGCCCAAGATGGTTTGTGAGCTGCCCAAGAGGGTTCGTGAGCTGCCCAAGAGGGTTTGTGAGCTGCCCAAGAGGGTTTGTGAGCTGCCCAAGAGGGTTTGTGAGCTGCCCAAGAGGCTTTGTGAGCTGCCCAAGAGGGTTTGTGAGCTGCCCAAGAGGGTTTGTGAGCTGCCCAAGAGGGTTTGTGAGCTGCCCAAGAGGGTTTGTGAGCTGCCCAAGAGGGTTTGTGAGCTGCCCAAGAGGGTTTGTGAGCTGCCCAAGAGGGTTTGTGAGCTGCCCACAGGGGTTGTGAGCTGCCCAACAGGGTTTGTGAGCTGCCCAACAGAGTTTGTGAGCTGATCAACGTCACATGTCACTGCACGATTACCTGATGGTTTTGCTGTGCGATGCTAACCCGTTGTGCATTGGTACCTACCAGCACCAACTTGCGTTTCTCTCCCACGTTCTATCCATTCCATGGTCACCCTTCCTCGCTCAAGTTCTGTTCGTTTCATGCCTCATCGGCCCATACCTCATCGTCCCATGCCTCATCATCTCGTCCCTGCACAGAAAACAGCGCTGCACTGCTTCGCATCCTCCCCTATCTTGTTTCATGTGCATCACCTGATGCTGGTCATCCTCCCTCCAAGAGCTTAGCAAAGATACACTTCCGGATATGTTATGTGGGGTTGCTGCACGACATACTACACTGAACAGCACAAAACCAGGCTATCCCGCACTCAGGTTTTCCAGGTGTGGTGTATTTGCTGCTGCACCACCAAGGGTTGATCTGGGTTATTCCGCAGCTCAATTTCTCATGCCCCGTTCTTTTATCTCTCTCAACCGCACTGCACCGCACTAAGTCACAATGAACCCTCTCACACTCCAATCCTGCAGGTGTGGTGTCTTTTCTGCGCTATCAAAGGCTGTATTGACTTCACTCAACTGCACTCCACCGCACTGCACTGCAATGCACTGTGCTATCCGCCCCTGCAGGTGTGGTGTCTGCTGTGCTGCGCCACAAACGGGTCCATCTACTTCATCACAGCCAGCCTCGTCTCCTCTCAGCTCAACTTACCATTCCCTCTCGCCACATACCACACTCAACCGCACTCAACCGCACTGCACCACACTCCACCGCACTGCACCATTGCCCGCCCCTGCAGGTGTGGTGTCTGCTGTGCTGCGCCACAAACGGGTCCATCTACTTCATCACAGCCAGCCTCGTCTCCTCTCAGCTCAACTTACCATTCCCTCTCGCCACATACCACACTCAACCGCACTCAACCGCACTGCACCACACTCCACCGCACTGCACCATTGCCCGCCCCTGCAGGTGTGGTGTCTGCTGTGCTGCGCCACAAACGGGTCCATCTACTTCATCACAGCCAGCCTCGTCTCCTCTCAGCTCAACTTACCATTCCCTCTCGCCACATACCACACTCAATCGCACTCAACCGCACTGCACCACACTCCACCGCACTGCACCATTGCCCGCCCCTGCAGGTGTGGTGTCTGCTGTGCTGCGCCACAAACGGGTCCATCTACTTCATCACAGCCAGCCTCGTCTCCTCTCAGCTCAACTTACCATTCCCTCTTTCCACATACCACACTCAACCGCACTGCACCACACTCCACCGCACTGCACCATTGCCCGACCTGCAGGTGTGGTGTCTGCTGTGCTGCGCCACCAACGGGTCCATCTACTTCATCACGGCGGGCCTCGTCTCCTCGCAGCTCAACTTCCCGCACTCGGGGGGCGTAGTGGCGGGGATTGTCGTGGGCTTTATCGGCCTCTCCGGCGCCATTTTTGCCCAGGTGCTGCTGGGAGGGCAGGGGGATGGGAGGTACGGGCTCGGAGGGAGGTTTATGGGGGAAGGGAAGGGGGAAGATGCGGGGGTTCACAAGGAGGGATAGTTGGGGAGGTTGGTTTGCGTGGCGAGCTCAGCTTCTGGCATTCAGGGCGGTGCTGTTGAGCATTACGGTGGGCTATTTCGTCGGCTTCATAGGCCTGTGAGGCGCCATCTTTGCACAGGTACTACTGGGGGGGGTAAGATGCTGGTTGGAGGGAGGGACGAGCTGTGGGGACGTAGGCAGGGAGAAAGAGGGGAGAAGAGGGCCCCCTGCCCCTGTCAACTTCGAGCCTTTCATCCCGTGCCCCTTCTCCTTCCCTCCCTCCCAACATGCCACGGCTCCCTCTCCCTGCCCCGCCCTCCCACTGCCCCCTTTCCCCTCCCCCACGCAGATCTACTCTGCGTTGCTCGCACCCAACCCTCCGGCCTTTCTGCTGCTGGCCTGCATTGGCCCCGCTGCTGTGGGCATCCTCAGCCTCTTCATCGTCCGCCTCTTCCCCCCCCGTATGTCCTCTTCTTCCCCACCTCACCCTCCCTCCCCTCTCCTCCCCCCGCCCCTTTTCCCCCTCCTTCTCCCCTCTCCACCAATGTCGTTCAAGCAACAAGGGCAGCAGTCTATGAAGTGCCTCTTTTCTCCCCAGTTTATTCGGCAAACCATGACACTCGCGCTGCTCATCTATTTTGAAAACCTTCTCTCTTTCCTCCTTGCGTGCCACCTGCCTCCCCATATGTCCCTTTCCCTCCCTGTCCCCCTAGCCCCCCGCACACCCAAGGTGGCAGCAGAGGAGGGTGCGAATTTCTCCCTCATGCTGCGCCTCTGGCTGTTGCTTCACCGCCTTTTTACCTGACCGTCTCCCTCTCTTTCATATGCCTTCCCTTCCCATTTCCCCCGCTCCCCCCCCCCTTTTTCCTCCCTGCCTCCCCAGCCCCCTGCAAGCCCAAGGAGGCAGCAGAAGAGAGCGCAGGCTTTAAAGAGCGCAGGCTTCAAAGAGCGCAGGCTTCAAAGAGCGCAGGCTTTAAAGAGCGCAGGCTTCAAAGAGCGCAGGCTTCAAAGAGCGCAGGCTTTAAAGAGCGCAGGCTTCAAAGAGCGCAGGCTTCAAAGAGCGCAGGCTTCAAAGAGCGCAGGCTTCAAAGAGCGCAGGCTTCAAAGAGCGCAGGCTTCAAAGAGTGCAGGCTTCAAAGAGCGCAGGCTTCAAAGAGCGCAGGCTTCAAAGAGCGCAGGCTTCGCCCTCATTCTGCACCTCCGCATGCTGCTCGCCGCCTTAAGCCTCACAGCCGCTCTTTCTTTCCTACCCCTTCCATTCCTCCAAACCCTGCATTTCCGCACTTAACACATGCAAGTCGTACGGAACCATTTATTGGTTCAGTTTTCCCTGACCCCCCAGCACCCCGTACCCCCAAGGCGGCAGCAGAGGAGACTGCAGATTTCTCTCTCATCCTGCGCCTCTGCATGCTGCTCGCTGCCTTCCTGCCTCACCGTCACTCTTTCTTTCTTACCCCTTCCCCTTCCCCTTTCTCCCGCTTTTTCCCTGTCCCCCCAGCCGCCCGAACGCCCAAGGTGGCAGCAGAGGAGAGCGCGGGCTTCTCTCTCATCCTGCGCCTCTGCATGCTGCTCGCCGCCTTCCTCCTCCTCGTCATCACCTCCCAGGCCTTCACCACCTTCTCACCGCACACCACCACTGCCATTACCATCACCATGCTCCTCCTCCTCCTCGCCCCTGCTTCCGTGCTCCTCCCCTCCCGCTCCCCCTCTACTTCCTCCGCCACCCCCTCGTCCTCTCCCTCCTCTCTCACTCACCCACATGCCCAGGGCTCCTCCGATCTCTCCCAGCCTCTGCTCCAATCATCTTCAGCCACGTCAGCAGCAGGGGGCGCTCCTGGTAGTGCCAGTCCCGGAGCTAGCGTGCTTCCACCAATCAGGGAAGGAGAAACACTCCATGCCGCTAGCACCCTCCCCCCATCCTCCCCTCCAACCACTCACCCACCGGCTCTCTCTCTTTCACCCCACCAGTCGGCCTTCTCCCCTCTCGGCAACAGCAGAACCTCCCCCAAACCTACCTCCCCTGAATACACCTCCCCGTATCTCAGCCCACCTCCTCCTTCCAGCGGACATGCCTGCACTGCTGCTCAAAACATTTCATCATCCCCAGCAGCAGGAGGAGCACGAGGAGGAGGAAGAGGGTTGAGGGGTGCAGGAGCCATCTCATTTGTGAGTCCGAACAGGTCCGGTGACGTGCCGAAGCTAGGCCTCAGCAGCAGCATCACTGCAGCTGCCCAAGCCAGCAGCTTCGGCACCCATAGCAGCGTAGGCTCGGCGACCCTCATGCACCTGCTGCTGGGCACGTCTGCTGACTCCCGGACCAACCGAAGCGGAGGTACGGGGAGCCAGCCCACGACCAGTATCCTCGATATAAGCAGTCCCGTTGGTGGCAGAAGGACGCAGAGTATATCCAGCAGTAGTAGCCTGCGCAGTGCTAGTGGATTGAAGGGAAGGCAAGAGGGGGAGCAAGAGACAGGAGAGGAAGGAAGAGAGGGAAACGAGGGAGAGGAGGGGAGGAGGGGAAGGCAGGTGGAAAGGAAAGGAGGAGGAGGAAGTGCAGCAGGAAGCAGCTCGACTCCTGATCATGGCCCTCAGACTAGTTGGATGCCGCCACGTGGCAGCCAGAAGAGCCTGAGCAGCCTGATGGAGGATGGTGACGTGGTAGGGGCGGCGAGTGTGGGTGGAGGGGAGGGAGAGGGCGGGGATGACGATTGGAGCTACTACTTTGGGGAAGAGGAGACGTCTGTTCATGGTAAGAACCAGTCGAGAGTGACCGGAATCACCTCTCCCAAAGGGGGATACAGCAGGGGCGGAGGAGATGAGGACGAGGATGAGTGCGGGGAGGAGGAAGAGGAGGAGGATGGGGAGGAGGGGGAGGAGGAAGGCGATGGGGCAGGAGACGAAGCAACTGAGCCAGCCCATGCAGGGGGAGCAGCAGCAGCGAGGGGGGAGGTGTATCTGGGGGAGGACCATTCGTTCGGGCAGGCGCTATCCACTTTAGACTTCTGGCTGCTGTACGGGGGGCTGGTGTGCGGCTTTGGTGCAGGGCTGACGGCCATCACGAACCTGGCGCAGATAGGCGAGGCGCAGGGGTACGGCAACGCGCAGGTGCTCACTTCCCTCGTCAGCATCTGGCAGTTCCTCGGCCGGCTGGCCAGTGGATCGCTCTCGGAGCACTTTGTCAGGTCAGTTTATGAGGTTTGATGGGAGGTTTGATGAGGGGTTTGATGGGGAATGGGCAGTGGTTCGATTTGGGAAAAGTTGGGTGGAGAACGAGAAAGTGAACTTTTCCTTGTTCACAGCCACTGCCCCTTGAACACCAGTTTGCACCTCTGCTTCCAACTCTCTCCGCCCTTCACCTCAGGGCCCACTGCATGCCGTCCGCCATGGCTCTGGCAGCCATCCAGCTGCTCATGGCAGCGGGACACCTGGCCTTCCTCCTCGTTTCTCATAGGCTTCACCTCGCCTTCGTCCACGCCTCCCTGTCCTCATTCCCTGCACAATCCCTCCCCCCCCCGCCCCCCGCCTCGTCCCTCATTTCCCTGCATTTTCTCACAGGGCACACGGCATGCCAGCCCTGGCAGCCATCCAGCTACTGATGGCAGTGGGTCATCTCGCCTCCGCCCTCGCCCCACCAGAAGGCGTGTACCTGGGGTCGCTGCTCATAGGCTTCACGTATGGCGGCCTGTGTTCCGTCATGCCTGTCATCGCACAGTATCCCTTCGCCCCGCGCTGTCCTCATTGCATGCACAACCACCCCCCACCATCCTCTTCCTTCTCCCCCTCCCCCTCCTTCCCTCCTTCCCCTCAGAGCACACGGCATGCCACGCCCCATGGCTCTAGCAGCCATCCAGCTGCTCATGGCAGTGGGTCACCTTGCCTTCGCCCTCGCCCCGCCAGGAGGCGTGTACCTGGGCTCGCTGCTCATAGGCTTCACGTACGGCGGGCTGTGCTCCGTCATGCCTGTCATCGCCGCTGAGCTCTTCGGCCGTCGCTGCCTCGGCCTGCTCTACAACTCCCTGCTCGCCGCTGCTCCCCTCGGCTCCTACCTCTTCTCAGGTGCGCCCTACTTTGCCTCAGCCGGCTCTGCAACTCGCTGCTGGCAGCCACTCCTGCTAGGGTCGCGCTCCCTGAACTGGAAGGAGCACCCTCTCTGTTCCGTCCTTGCCGTGTTGCTGACTTTTGAGTCGACTCAAATATCGCCGCGTTGTTGAGCTGCTCTTGCGCTTGATCTACCTCTAGTGCATCGCGTGGGCTGGGGTGGCTTCTGAGGCGCCTCTGAAGCTGCCCTTGCGCTTGGCCTACCTCTAGTGCATAGGGGCGGAACAGCCTTGTCTGCTTTGGAGGCGCCTAAAAAATAGTCCTTGCCGTGTTGTTGAGCTGCCCATGCATTTGGCCTACCTCTAGTGCTTGACGTGGGGTGGGGTGAGACGGCCTCATCTGTTCGTCTGTCACTCCGTTCAGGCCATGTGACTGTTCTGTCTGCCTTTCTGCCTCTCTGCCTCCCTGCGTCTTGATATGCCTGTCCTGTGTCACCTGTCCACTGCCTGTCTGTCTGCCTCGCCCCTTCTCCCAGGTGTGCTGGCAGGCTACCTCTATGAGATAGAGGCGCGGAAAGACAGGGGATTCACAGCAGGTGTAGAGGGAGCAGCATCGCTGCTAGCACCCGGGCAAGAGTGGGCGTTGGAGCCAGTACTAGGAGTCGGGCACGTGGCCGGTGCCTCTGCTGATTTCACAGGTGCTAGAAAGATGCTCGGTTTGATGCTGCCCTCTGCAACATCCACAGCTGCAGTAGCAACAGCAGCGGCAACAGCAGGGACAGAGCCAATTGGGCAGGGGTGGTTGGGAACGAGCTGGTTTGGGCAGGGAATGGGTGGCTGGTTTAGTGATGCTGTGGGCAGTGCAGCGGGGGGTGGAGGAGGGGAGGGGCCCAAGGCGTGTCATGGGGCGCACTGCTTCCGTCTCATCTTCCTCATCCTCACCGCCGTGTGTGTACTGGGCGCTGCTGTGAATCTGCTAGTTGCCTCCCGCACTGCCCGTGTGTATGGCCTTATGAGACACACCGAGGCTGTGGGAGCAGATGAAACAGATGAAGCAGTGGGGAAAGATGATGAGAAGTAGGTTACTGCCTCGTATTCCTCGTCCTGGCGGCCGTGTGTGCACTGGCCGCTGCCGTGAACGTGCTTGTGGCCTCCCGCACTGCCCGGGTGTATGGCCTTATGAGACACAGCGAGGTGGGAGGAGAAGAGGAGACAGATGAAGCAGAGGAAGAAGATGATGCTAGGTAGGAGGCAGCTGCATGCTCGGGGATTGCTAGAAGGCATCTATTCGTTGGATGAATGCTAGGTAGGGCACTGGTCTATTGGGTCTTGGGCTGGGTGCTTCTCTGTACCAGTAGTGCTGCCTGCTGGGCGCTGTGGTGAACGTGCTTGTTGTGGCCTCCTGCACTGCCCACGTGTATGGCCTTATGAAGGGGACACATGGAAGGGGACGCAGAGGAGAATGATGAATCAGTGAAGAAAGATGATTCCAGGTAGGTTAGCTACCAGTTGAGGGAATGTTGTGCAAGGTAGGGTACTGGCCTATTGGCATGGCACTGAGACTGGGTGCTTGTGTACCAGTGATGCTCCATGCCTGGAGTGGGTGGTATTGTGCTGATGGCATGGTGAACAGGGGGGGGTTGTGGCCGATGAGTTTGTTGGGGCTGAGGCTGGGTGGTGCTTCTACGCCGGTGATACTACAGGCTTGGATTGGAGCGGGTGGTAGTAATGTGCTGGTGGCATGGTGAAGTGGCCGGGTGTATGGCCTGATGAGGCTCAGCCATAGCCATAGAAGAGGAGGGAGGCTATTTAAATGTGGAAGGTGACGTGGTACTACGTAGGTTTTGGGTGGTGTGATGTGATGTGATGTAACTGTCAGTTGGTTTATCCACTAAAGGTTTGTGGCCCTCGTGAGACGTAATGTACCATCTTCGCGGTTTCAATGAGGAATATGTAGACCGTGCTTGTGGTATTGATTTGCTTGCATGTTGCCCTATTTGACAATCACTAATCCACGTGATGTTTGTTCGTAAGAAAGAAATTCGTTCTCACAGTATATGAAGGTACCGTACGTGGAAACACCTGAAATGCCAAGATATCTTCTTGGGTTGGGTATGTTGCAACAACATAACAGCGTCAACAACAATTTTCTCAATGCTGTTACATTCATGACCAAGTGCACATGCGGACGTATTGTGCAGCCAAGCGAGGTGTAGGGTACGTGAACCGGGGTATCCTTCACCCCCACATGCATTGGAGCTGCCACATGGCGACACAGTTATTGAACCCTGCCAGGGGAAGGGCAGAAGAATGTTGGTACCAAGAGATGGAAAGGTGAATGTTGGGAGCGAATCACTGCGGAGGACTCACAGGTCCCGAGGCGTCCAGGAAAATGAAAGCGACAGCCAAAGTTGGTCCTTGATTATTCTGAAATTAGCTTGTAAGGCTTTGTGGTAAGGGAAGGAGCCTATGGGCAGAGCTTGCAGATACCAGCAGTTTGGTAATGACACTTGCAAATTAAGCACTAAAGAAGACATTTGAGATTAAAGACCACGTCAGGATTGAATGAGTCGCGAGCAAGCACTCACTGTGGAGCCGATCTGCTGTCTTGTGATGTGATGCCAGTGCAAACTCAGGGGAAACGTGCCCCACTTCAGGTGCAATGGCGGGTGCTTCAGGTGAGCAGTTGTCTGCTTCAGGTGAGCAGTTGTCTGCTTCAGGTGAGCAGGTGTCTGCTTCAGGTGGGCTGGCAGGTGTGAGGGGCGGCGGCAGGTGGAACCTGCGGTGGCCTGATGACGTGGCAGCTAGAGGCAGGCACGGGTGGAAGGCGAATCCATTGATGGTGTCTGGGGAGGGGGGTTTGGAAGATGAGGAGAGGGAGGCGGGGGAGGGGAGGAGGGGGGGGAATGTGTTTGAGGAGAACAAGTGAAGAGCTTTGTGTTGGTTTGAAGACAGGCAGGCTGGGGTGGATGGTATATGGGGAGGTGGGTTTGCACGCGTCTTAGAGCACCACATTGCACCGCACTGCACTGCACATGAACGTTACCATGAGCGGCTTGGGAGGCTGCTATCTTGGAGCTAAAAACAAGGTCAAACACCCACACTTGACTGTCCTGTGGGGAGCTTCAAGGGTGCTCCAACCCTGGTGAACTGCATTGCAGTGCTCTGGACCGCACTGCACCACACATCAACATCACCTTGAGCGGCTTGAAAGGCTGCGATTTTGGAGCCTGAAGCGAGATCATACACCCTCACCTGACCGTCCTGCAATTGAGAGGTGGAGGGTGAGAGCGTGAGAGAGGTGGAGAAGAGGCGGTGGTGCCAAGAGAGGGGTTGAGGCTGATGGGCGAAGTGGAAAATAATAGTGGAGGGTGGTGACGAACGCAATATAACAAGGCAAGATGTGGCACATCAGTGCCAACTTATGCCCTCGATGCTGTCACACCCATGCACTCATGCCGCCACTCACCCATGCACCCCTGCACCTCTCTGCACCCATACACCCATCCACCCATGCACCCATGCAGCCATGCAGCCATGCACCCATGCATCCATGCACCCCTGCACCCATGCACCCGTGCATCCATGCACGCATGCACCCATGCCCATGCGCTCTAACCCATCCCATACCTCTCCCCCGGTGGCGAGATGGCGGTTGGAGGGGTCAATGTCGAATGCAATGCGCTGATTGGTGGATGTCACACACCGCTGCATGCTGCCATGGTGCCATGGGGTGATACGGGTTGACAAGGGATGACAAGGGATGACCCAGGATGACAAGGGTTGACAAGGGATGACCCAGGAAAACAAGGGGTGACATGGGATGGCATGGCATGAATGGCTCGGACATGGTATCAAACGTGATGCGCTGGTTGGTGGACGTAACACACCGCTGCATGCTGCCATGGGGTGACATGGGGTGGAGTGGGATGGGATGGGATGAGATGGGATGGGAAGGGAAGGGATGGGATGGGATGGGATGGGATGGGATGGGATGGGATGGGATGGGATGGGATGGGATGGGATGGGATGGGATGGGATGGGATGGGATGGGATGGGATGGGATGGGATGGGATGGGATGGGATGGGATGGGACGGGACGGGACGGGATGGGATGGGATGGGATGGGATGGGATGGGATGGGACGGGATGAGATGGGATGGGAAGGGAAGGGATGGGATGGGATGGGATGGGATGGGATGGGATGGGATGGGATGGGATGGGATGGGATGGGATGGGATGGGATGGGATGGGATGGGATGGGATGGGATGGGATGGGATGGGATGGGATGGGATGGGATGGGATGGGATGGGATGGGATGGGATGGGATGGGATGGGATGGGATGGGACGGGACGGGACGGGATGGGATGGGATGGGATGGGATGGGATGGGATGGGATGGGACGGGATGAGATGGGATGGGAAGGGAAGGGATGGGATGGGATGGGATGGGATGGGATGGGATGGGATGGGATGGGATGGGATGGGATGGGATGGGATGGGATGGGATGGGATGGGATGGGACGGGACGGGATGGGATGGGATGGGATGGGATGGGATGGCAAGGGATGGGATGGGGTGGGATGCGGTGGCATGGCATGGGATAACATGGGGGGTTTTATGGCTGGATGTAGCTTCTTAGGGGCCGCAGAGAGCACATTGCATGTGTACATGGGGTATGCTTTTGAATGCCATTCTCCTAAACTGCAGGAAGACAGACGCCTTCCGAGGCGCCTCAAAAGCGTGCCGCATGTGTTGTGATTCTCCTGCAGCAGTGCAGATAATCACGGGTATGCATGGAACCTTTCCTCCATGAAACGCAATGACACACCTGTACACAACGCCTGATGTGTTCCGCACCCAGCAGTGAATGGTAAAAATTAAGTTACGCCTGTAGAGACGACAACTGATGTGGTGCTACTAGCTATGCCTACACAGCGCCACGCCTCACCTGTACACAACGCCTGATGTATTCCGCACGTCCCAGCAGTGAATGGCTGGATCCTGTAGAAAGGAATGCAGTGCAGATGACAGAAAGAGATGGAGGCAGTCGGGAAGATGCTGAGGAGGCACATGAATGCAGGGCATGAAAGTGACCCTGTCTGCTGCGTGCTGGATTCATGCATGCAGGCGTGCAAACAAACAATATGCAACGAGGGGCTGACCTTGCGCGCACCCGAGTAGAGGAAGTTGCCATCCCGAGAGAAGAGCACCTGGCGTGGTGTGGTGCGTGCAGGAAGGGGGTGCAGAAAAATGGGGGGTTGGGTGCGTGGGGGGCGGGGGGAAGAGGGGAGGAGTGTGCAAGGGACAGCAGAAATTGACTTTGAAGCAGCGCGCACGCCCAACCCACACGCCCACCCACCTGAGTGACCCCTCCTGTGTGCCCGTGCATCACTGCCATCGCCTCCCTGCCCAGGTCGCCGTACAGCCCGCCATCGAGCCATGGAGACTCTTGATGCACCACACACGCCCATAGGCACCACCTAGGTCACACACCCACCTGAGTGACCCCTCCTGTGTGCCCGTGCATCACTGCCATGGCCTCTCTCCCCAGATCCCCGTACAGCCCCACACTGCCATCATACGACCCCACAGCTAGCAGCCCCGGCATGTACGGATTGGTGGTTAGACAGGACAGCAGACCTGCGAGGGGAATGAGGGGTGGGGGTTGAAGGTTGGAAGGTTAGGGAATGGCATAACAGCCCCACAGTGCCGTCATACGACCCCACGGCTAGCAGGCCCGGCATGAATGGGTTGGTGGCTAGACAGGAGAGCAGACCTGTAAGGGGATGGGGAAATGAGCGACGAGGATTGGAGGTTGGGAGGTGAGGGGGAATGGCGTAACAGCCCCACACTGCCATTGTACGAGCCCTCGGCTAGAAGGCCCGGCATGAACAAGTTGGTCGTTAGACAGGAGAGCAGACCTGCGAGGTGATGGGGACAAGAGGGGATGAGGGATTTGAATCGGTGAGGGCGGGGCAGTGAAGAATGGGGGGTCGCCGTACAGTACAGCTCCACGTTGACTTTTGAGTGCCATCACTGCTCCACGTTGACTTTTGAGTGCCATCACTGCTCCACGTTGACTTTTGAGTGCCATCACTGCTCCACGTTGACTTTTGAGTGCCATCACTGCTCCACGTTGACTTTTGAGTCAGCTCAAAAGTCAGCTCCACAGTGCCATCATACGAGCCCACGGCTAGACGGGCCGGCATGGGGATGGGGGGTGATGAGGGGTCGGGGGTGGGATGGGCTGTGCTGTGCTGCACTGCGCTGAGCTGTGCTGTGCTGCGCTGTGCTTTGCTGCGCTGTGCTGTGCTGCACGGTGCTGTGCGGTGCTGCTGACAGTCCCGTCAAAGCAACCTCGTCACAGCCACTCACATCGCAGCTACTCCCAGAAGCACGTCACCATCCATCCCCCACCCATACTTAGGCGGCCCTATCCCCTTCCCCACCTGTCTTCCCGTGCCCCTTGGCGCCCCTTGGTGCTGTGCTGTGCTGCCGTGCCAGCAATTGGGCCCTGCAATGGGGTGCCTCCCAAACTAAGAAAACGGGTAGAAAGCTGCAAGCTAGGTTTGACCGTCCCCCTACGCTTACCCATCTGCCTCCACCCCTCCACATGCACCCCTAGCCATACCCGTCTGGCCGTGCCCTTTGGCTCCTGTGCTGTGCTGCTGGCAGTCGCGCCCCGGAACGCTCTCAACCACTCCAAACCGCAACTTATCCCAGAGGCACTTCACCTGCCCCCCTACCTATTGTCCCCTATCCCCTTCCCCACCTGTCTTCCCGCGCCCCTTGGCGCCCGTGCTGTGCTGCTAACAATCGCATCCCGGTACCCTCAGGTACAACTCTCGCCCTCAGGTACAACTCTCGCCCTCAGGTACAACTCTCGCCCTCAGGTGCAACTCTCGCCCTCAGGTACAACTCTCGCCCTCAGGTACAACTCTCGCCCTCAGGTACAACTCTCGCCCTCAGGTACAACTCTCGCCCTCAGGTACAACTCTCGCCCTCAGGTACAACTCTCGCCCTCAGGTGCAACTCTCGCCCTCAGGTACAACTCTCGCCCTCAGGTACAACTCTCGCCCTCAAGTACAACTCTCGCCCTCAGGTGCAACTCTCGCCCTCAGGTACAACTCTCGCCCTCAGGTACAACTCTCGCCCTCAGGTACAGCTCTCGCCCTCAGGTACAACTCTCGCCCTCAGGTACAACTCTCGCCCTCAGGTACGACTCTCGCCCTCAGGTACAACTCTCGCCCTCAGGTACAACTCTCGCCCTCAGGTACAACTCTCGCCCTCAGGTACAACTCTCGCCCTCAGGTACAACTCTCGCCCTCAGGTACAACTCTCGCCCTCAGGTACATCTCTCGCCCTCAGGTACAACTCTCGCCCTCAGGTACAACTCTCGCCCTCAGGTACAACTCTCGCCCTCAGGTACAACTCTCGCCCTCAGGTGCAACTCTCGCCCTCAGGTACAACTCTCGCCCTCAGGTACAACTCTCGCCCTCAGGTACAACTCTCGCCCTCAGGTACAACTCTCGCCCTCAGGTACAACTCTCGCCCTCAGGTACAACTCTCGCCCTCAGGTACAACTCTCGCCCTCAGATACAACTCTCGCCCTCAGGTGCAACTCTCGCCCTCAGGTACAACTCTCGCCCTCAGGTACAACTCTCGCCCTCAGGTACAACTCTCGCCCTCAGGTACAACTCTCGCCCTCAGGTACAACTCTCGCCCTCAGGTACAACTCTCGCCCTCAGGTACAACTCTCGCCCTCAGGTACAACTCTCGCCCTTACTCCTCCCACAGGCACCATCCATCCCTCCCCGGCCATATCTAGAGTAGGGATGAGCAAGGGGCGAACACGTTCGTGTTCGCCCCTGCATGAGTACAGCCGTTGTTCGGTTCGGCGAACACTTTTAGCAAAAACAGATGTTCGGTGTTCGCCTGTGAAGGCGTGTGTTCAACGCGGGGCGAATTGCAGCAGCGGCCCGAACACGAACGTGTTCGGGCGAACCTCGAACACGTTTGTCACCAACACTTTAAGCTAAAAAACCACCCCTTCGAGGCGAACCGAACAGGTGTACGTTTCTTTGCTCAACCCTAATCTAGAGGCCCCGATCCCCCGGGGCCCAGTCATACCTGTCTGGCCGCGTCCTTTGGTGCCCGTGCTGTGCTGCTGGCAATCACGCCCTGGTATGCTCGTGTCAAACACTCTGAGACAGCGTGGGAAGCCCAGGATGAGCCTGGGTGGGGGACATGAGAGAGGAGGCGAGGGGAGGGGAGGGAAGGCATGGTGGGGAAGGTCAGGGACAGGGCAGGAAGAGCAGGGAGTGGGGCAGCTATCAAGTGGAGATACGGGAGGTCGGAAGGCAGAGAGGAGGAGAGGAGGAAAAGAAGGCAGAAGAGAAAGAAACAAAGGAGGAGGAAGTGAAAGGGAAGCTCACCTGTCTCAATCACTTGCTTGATCCTCCCCCCTCATTGCAATGACAGCAAAACAACCTCCTACACTCTATCCCTCACTCGACTCACTTGATCTTCCTACACAAATAACTCGTTTACTCACTCGCGCACTCATTCTTTCCCTTCCTTCGCTCTCCCCCCCGACTCACACCCTCATGCGCACCCTCACTCACTCCCTCACTCACTCCCTCACTCACCACTCACTTGTCTCCTTGAGAAGAGAAGGTGAGGGAGAGGGCAGCAGCGATCTCATCCAGGTGGTCATATGCTCGGTACGTGCAGCGCAACTGTATAGGCACATGGGTGTGAGACATGTGTGTGGGGCATGATAGAGGGAGGAGCGGGAAGTTGTAGAGAGGGCAGCAGCAATCTCATCCAAGTGGTCGTATGCTCGGTACGTGCAGCGCAGCTGGTGTGGTAATGTGGACATGTGCGCGGTACGTGCAGCACAGCTGGATGAGACAAGGTGACTTTTGAGTCGACATGGATGAGACATGGGACATGGGAACCTCGGTACGTGCAGCACAGCTGCATGAGACATGGGAGTGGGGCATGATTGAAGGAGGAAATGGAAGCTGTAGAGCGGGCAGCAGCAATATCTCGTCTCGTCCATCACCTGGCCTACCACCTCGCCTAACACCTGGTGTAACACCTGAACAGCCCTGGCGGACCACCTGAGAGCACACCTGGCGGACCACCTGAGAGCACACCTGGCGGACCACCTGAGAGCACACCTGGCCGGTCATGGCATCCCACAGGTGCACGGGGTGGTCCCTTGATGTTGATGCAAACACACATGACACCGGGTCTGCAGGTGATGACGTGGCAGTGTTGGCGCAGGCAGACACACATGACACTGGGTATGCGTGATCGTGTGGGAGATGAGATGGTGTGTGGGATGGTGCAGTGCAGTGCAGTGCAGTGCCTACATGACATGAGAATTGTGTGGTGAGTCGCTACAAGACAAGATGGGGCGGTGTGGGCCGGGGAATGATCCGGTGTGTGTGAGACAAAGATGTCGCTATGTGGGCACCAGCAGTGGGGAGAGGATTAAGCAGACACGGGGCAAACACATAGTATGGATATTCTCCCTTTCGTTTGCCGGTAATCAAATTCTTGATCACACAGCATACAAACGCTGACATGGCATACCAGCTGCTGACATGGCATACCAGCTGCTGACATGGCAGGGAACCATGCAAAGTCATAGATGGTCTCCCCCTCCCTGACCATCACTGCCGGTGCCAGCGAATCTGACAGGTACGAGAAAGGGGGGAGGAGCGAGGGCGGGTAGAAGAGGGGAAGAGACGTGCAGAGAGAATGGGGGGAGTAGACGGGGGCAGGCAGTGGGGAGGGGGATTGGGAGGAAAGGGAGGAGTGAGGAGGGACAGGTGGGAAAGAATTGTGCCATAATGACGTCAGCACATGCAGTGCGTTGCATGTGAAGGAATGGAGTGCACGGATATGATTGAACGAAATGCATGCACGAGTATTGAGCATACCTCGGTTGGGGAGTGTGGCCTCATCGTTCATGTCAAATGGGGCAGATGACGCCAGCATGATGTCAGCAGGGCTGAAGGAGCGGTGAGCAGGAAGGAAGCAGAGAGTAACAAACCAGATATTTCACCAGAGGATTGAATTAAACGAATGAATGGAGAGAGGAAGAGGGCAGAAGCACGAGAGGTACAACATGACAGGGTGGGTCAGATCCCCTCCGCTGATCACCATTGCCTCGGCTGAGCTCCACTCTCCGACTTGATTCGTTGGCAGTGGTCCATACAGAGGGTGCACAAGATAACAGATATGTGTGGGTACACAAGAGCACAGCACGGCATGTCATGGTGTGGCATTGCAATGGCATGGCATGGCATGGTCCGGCATGATGTGGCAGTGGGATGGCATGGCATGTCACGTACAGGTCAAAGAGGCGCAGGCAGCAATCCTCGCTGGAAGCCAATAGGCACGTGCCATCTGGCGACCTGCCATGCCATGCCACACAGCAGGAGCAACAAACGCCAGTTGGGATGGATGACAACCGTATGCATTCTGTAAGGGCAAGCAGCAATGGCTACTACAACACATGATGTGAAACAGTTGTTGTCATAGACCAGAGTTCGTTGGGAGTGTGGCAAGAACCAGGTTCGAAGAAGGCAACCTGGGCCACCTGATTAAGGCTTAGAACGGCCATGCTTACAACCAGGAACACCTCACCACTTCACGCCCTTGAGAAAGTTTCCAGAGGGGTCCACTTGTCGCCGGCTCCGCACCACACGCTCACACCCAGCCTTCCGCTTCCTGCCCGCCGCACTCCCCTCCTCGCACCCCCGCCCTCCGCTTCTTCCGCTTGCCACGTCAGCCGCCGCGTCGGCTGCCACGTCAGCGTCCGCGTCAGCGCGGAAGCATTGCCAGATCAGCGCGCGACAGGCGGGAGCTGGCTGCGAGAACTGCAGCAGCGGCCAGTCCGCAACTGCCGCCGTCTCTCCCGCTCCCTCCATCCCCTCCGCGTTTTCTGCCGCATCCAACGCCGTCCCCCCTGTTGCTGCATCCGTCCCCTCTCTTGCTCCTTCCGCCCTCTCCCCTTCGCCTCGTTCCTCCCCTTCTGTCACCTCTGCCATCGAAGCTTCTTCTCCTCCTCGATTTTCCCGCACATTGGCTCCTTCCTCCCCTTCGGCTGCTTCCCTTCCATCGTTTCCTTCCGCTCCTCCCGCTCCTTCCGCTCCTTCCGCTCGTTCTGATTCATGCATTCCCCCCTCAACACGAGTAGGTACCTCTTCGATCGCTCCCATTCTACATTGTGGATCGGTTGGGGTGACTTGATTGGCCAACAGGTGCAGAGGTTCGGTAGCAATCAGGGTCGACATGACGGCCACGCCACACACAGGTTTTGACAATGGCGTAACCTAGACCTGAATCTAAGGGCTCGGTCGGACGAGCTAAAATGCGACCTAGTGGATCGCTTGCACAGGAGTGCCCGTATCGAGTGGGTAGGTCCTTGCGCAAGCTGCGGAAGAGTTCTATCGCGTACAATTCCGCTGGCCAAATCATTTACATAATTTTCTGACAGTACTGCACCGCACAAAAGTTGCAATCAAACCAAACCAGCAGGAATGCGGAGGTAAAAAAGACCGCTTTGCACCGCTCAAACTTCCCAAAATGCTGTACACTCACCTGGTGTTTGCTATAATATATATTTGCCTTAAAAATCGAACTTGCTACTCTTTACAGCGCGGACAAGACAGCAGCTCCATCACCTCCTTGGCAATCCCAATGGTGGTGTTTGCCGTCCTATGCAAATTGAGTCGAGGGCTGTTCGCCTGTGCGAATTCCAGTAACATCGCAACGCAAGCTCGCCTCGTGGCAACGAGCTGCATTCTGAGGCGTCTCGAAGCCAGTCGAGTAACCTCCTTGGCGTAGTGGCTTTCCTTCGCAGTTAGTGCTGGAAGGCAGCGAAATCGTCGCAAGGCCCAATCGTTTGGACCTGCGGGACTTTGCGGAATTCCTTCGCTGACGCGGATGAGTGGTAACGGCCCGTGATGCGGTTTAAAACCAGGGTGCACATTCAACGCGGTTTGGCTTGAGATGTTGGGAAGGGGGTTTGGAGAAAAACAGTGATTGGCTCACGAGGGGCGACAAAAAAATGATTCCGCTAGAGCTTCGGGCATTTCGTAGGTGGCGGGAGGGGGTGAAATGGCGGGAGTGGGTGAAACCGAATGGCGGGAGGGATGAAACAGATTGGCGGGAGGGGGGGGAAACGAAATTGCGGGGGAGGGGGGAAACAAAATTGCGGGGGAGGGGGGAAACGAATTTCGACGGGGAGGGGGAAATGAAATTGCGGGGGCGTGGGGAAACGAAATTGCGGGGGAGGGGGGAAACGAATTTCGACTTGAAGGGGTTGAAAGCACACCTCGTAACCCACTCAGTCAAGGGATAACCTTTGATGCACATTCAGCTGAATGTGCACCCCGGTTTTAAGAGCGAAACAGACGCGGCGAGTCTTGATAATGCACAGGAAGTTGTCGCCGAACCACAGTAGCCACCTTCGCCAACGTCGCTCGATTAGTGATTCCGAACATTGCGGGAACACCCCACGTGACCCCCTGATTCCCGAGCTAAGAAACGGTAGTTTGCCTCGTGTTCACTCAACGCTTGCAGCAGCATGTATAAATCTGCTCTCGAGCTAAGAAACGGTAGTTTGCCTCGTGTTCACTCAACGCTTGCAGCAGCACGTACCGTATAAATCTGCTCTCGAGCTAAGAAACGGTAGTTTGCCTCGTGTTCACTCAACGCTTGCAGCAGCACGTATAAATCTGCTCTCGAGCTAAGAAACGGTAGTTTGCCTCGTGTTCACTCAACGCTTGCAGCAGCACGTATAAATCTGCTCTCGAGCTAAGAAACGGTAGTTTGCCTCGTGTTCACTCAACGCTTGCAGCAGCACGTATAAATCTGCTCTCGAGCTAAGAAACGGTAGTTTGCCTCGTGTTCACTCAACGCTTGCAGCAGCACGTATAAATCTGCTCTCGAGCTAAGAAACGGTAGTTTGCCTCGTGTTCACTCAACGCTTGCAGCAGCACGTATAAATCTGCTCTCGAGCTAAGAAACGGTAGTTTGCCTCGTGTTCACTCAACGCTTGCAGCAGCACGTATAAATCTGCTCTCGAGCTAAGAAACGGTAGTTTGCCTCGTGTTCACTCAACGCTTGCAGCAGCACGTATAAATCTGCTCTCGAGCTAAGAAACGGTAGTTTGCCTCGTGTTCACTCAACGCTTGCAGCAGCACGTATAAATCTGCTCTCGAGCTAAGAAACGGTAGTTTGCCTCGTGTTCACTCAACGCTTGCAGCAGCACGTATAAATCTGCTCTCGAGCTAAGAAACGGTATCAAGACTCACTACCTATCGTCTAGGATCGAAATCTGTCTCACTTACCTTTCTTTTCTACATCACACATTCAACCACCACCTCCTGAAGCGCGACGACCAGCTTAAAACCAGGTGCCATCGCTCTCCGCGTACTCCAGTCACCTCTCATTACTTCCGCACGAGAAACTCGCCTTGGCTCCCTCAATCACGTTCTTAGTCTCAGAGCTAATCCACGGGTCTCGCATCGTCGTTTACAGCCTCACGTGAGCATCGCGCCTTGCTTACCTCGGCTAGAGCTTCGGGACCTAATTGCGAGACGTGCTGGGTGAAATCAGGACCGCGCAACTACCGTGCACCTGCTACCTCACGTCGGTAGGTCGTTGAGAAGTCTCGTTTGTACCAGCCACGGTCAGCAAACCACTGTTGCTAGTGCGCGGTTTCTGCGTTGATTCGAGTAGCGGGTGGCAGCACGACGCGAGCTCGTTATCTCACCTCCTGCAGCACGATTTGGCTGTTTCTTGTCTCCCTTGCTTCGCAAACTGCATCGCCCCTCCCCACCTCTGAAATTTCCCGCCACTTCGCCACGTCTACATCCTCGCTTGCATCGGCCCCAGCTGCATTCCCAACTTCTATTCTCGGGACCTTACAGGCTACACTAACTGACTGCTACATTTCATTTTCATTTCATTACATTTTCTCGGTTCAGCGGCTTAGGTGTCACACATCATCCTCCGTAGCTGCTCCCACGTTTCAGACCTGCCACATTTTTTGCATAGATGGTCTATTGCTGCACTCTTCCACCATACAGACTAAGCTTCCCTTCCCATCCTAGCCATCCATGACTTCCCGCAAGAGAAATCGCCCTCCAGACCTTGTTGCAGCAGCTCCATCCTCGTCCACAACACGGTCTCGTCCCTCCCCTTCTTTCGCTACAGTCCATGTTCCTCTTCCGCCATCCTTATCGTGACCCTCTTCTTCCAACCAACAGCCAACCTCACTGTAACCCCCGCCTCCAGCTTCTCCTCAGCACAGCACTCCTCCCAACATTAGGCCCCCTCTTGTCTCTCAGAAACAGAAGGAGGCCCTTCACCAAGTGATTAGGGATAGCATGGCTTCGGCATTGCCGCACCATCCTCCATCGCCTCGCTCTACCTCTTCTTCTGCTCAGGGCGTTCACTCAACAGACCACGCCACCCCAGCTACCACTGCTGACGATCAACACCCCCTCTCGCATTACACTGATGTTCCTCCGCCTTCCCCACAGCCCCCTCCTCCTTCCTCCTCCTCTCCCCCGCCCCCTTCTACTTCCCCTGCGACGGCTCCTCCCACCAATCCTCCTCCTCCTGCCCGCTCTTTTCCGTGCCCTATATGCCGCCGTGCTTGCGCTAACGCCGGTGCCTTGACTCGTCATACCACTTCCTGCCAACAAAACTCTATTGCACGACAGCAAGCTGCTTGTCCTCCTCCTCGTTCCGCCCCTCCTCGCGCTCAAACTTCAGCTGCACGGTCCTCTCCACCTGCAATCCCTTCGGCCACCTGGGATGCAGTCGTTGAGTGGGATTGGCCAGCTTTTTTCAGCCCGTCAGTTTCTCCAGGACCCATTATTCGCCGCATTCCACCTCGCATTCGCCTTCTCGTGCTTGACGCCATGCTTATCCCCCTTCGGCGGCTTGCACAGCATCCCTCTGACACTGCTGCACACCTTATCCTGCTTGCTTTCTCGCGCCTTGTCCTTCGCTTAACAGCAGCCGCCCCTTCGCAATCGCTTACCGCAGCTTGCGCCCTTCTCACTCAGCGCTTTATCAGTGGGGACTGGCATGCGCTATTACTTGAAGCCTCTGCTGCTGCCACTCCTGCTGCTCGCCCTCTCAACCTTGCTTCAGCACGCTCCACAGCCACGCAGGCTCGCCTCCATCGTGCAGCACGATTTGCTAAGTGCGGCGACTGGTCTCGCTCCTTGGCAGCGTTGGAAGCTGGCGAGTTCGCACCCCCTTCCCCGGAAACCATCTCTTCTCTCTCTTCCAAGCATCCACCAGCCCCACAGCCTCTTCCTCAATGGATATCCACCTTCACCCCAGACTCTTACCCACAGCTTTCAGCCCCGCTCCTCCACTTGGCTCTTCGTTCAGCCCCACGGGGTACCGCTGCTGGCCCTTTGGGTTGGTTCATTGAGCACCTCAGAGACACCTTCCTTACTTCCCAGCAGCACCTTCCCTCCCTCCTCCGCCTCTTCCAAAATTGGCTGCAGGGCGAGCTCCCGCTCTCGGTCCGTTCCTACTACACTGCTTCTACCCTCGTCGCCCTTAAGAAGCCGCAGGGTGGGGTCCGGCCGATTGCTATTGGAGAAGTTCTCCCGCGCCTTCTGTCCCGCTGCGTCACCCTCATGTTCAAGCAGCAGATGCGTGACACCTTCCTTCCTTGCCTGCAGTTCGGGGTCGCGGTTCCTGCTGGCATAGAGGTGATGGCGCACGCCGTACAATCAGCCCTTTCTCTCCATCCTGATTGGGCGGTGCTTCAGCTTGACGTAGCTAACGCATTCAACTCTTTTAACAGAACTGCCATGTTCGAGGCTCTCCGCTCCTTAGTCTTCTCTTCTCTTATTCCCTACTTCAGCCTCTTCTACTCCTCCCCGTCTCCCCTTCACTACCGCAATGGCCCAACCCTCCATACATTCGACTCCGCTTCGGGCGTGCGCCAGGGGGACCCCTGTGGTCCCTTTCTCTACGCCCTCACCCAGCAGCTTGCCATCCGTCCCACTCAGAACCAGTTTCCATCCATCTTCATCTCCTCTTACGCTGACGACACCTTCCTTGTTGGCCCTCCCTCAACCATCACCGCTGCCTTCACCGCTCTGACTGACCGCCTTCATTCCTTAGGCCTTACTGTCCAACCCTCAAAATGTTCCATCTGGTGCCCTCTTGACTGGCCTCAGGACTGCACAACCCCTTTGGGTGTCCCTATCGCTCCCAACGGCCTCAACGTTGCAGGGGTCCCGATTGGCTCGGACGGCTACATCATCTCCACAGTACAGGAGAAGCTCGCCTCATTTGCTGCCTCTCTTCCTCTTCTTCACCAACTTCATGACCCTCAGACTGCCTCCCGCATCCTCTCCCAGTGCGTCTCAGCCCGTCCTTCCTTCCTCCTCCGGACTGTTTCGCCATTCCCAGAGATACATGACCTCTTCAGCTCTTGGGATTCTACCATCCTGGACCACTTCACCCAGCTCTTTGGCCCTGGTTATTGGATCCCAGACACAGAGCAGACTAAGACGGCGCAGCAGCAAGTCTTCCTTCCTATTCGCCTTGGGGGCTTTGGCCTTCGTTCCGCCGCCTCTACAGCACCTCTTAGTTACCTCTGCAGCTGGGCCCAGTCGCTTCCACTATTGTCCACACACTTCATCACTGACGGCTCGCCGCTTTTCCGCCCCTTTCTCTCTTCCGACACCATTCATCGCCTCGACGAGTTCATCCCAGCTGCCACTAACATGCTCCCCAAAGAAGTTCGTGACCGTTTCCCTTCCTGGTCTCATCTTCTACCCGGCTATCCCCCCAAACTCTTCACTCACCTCTTGCAGCAGCTTGAGGCTTCTTTGCTCGAGAAAGTACGCTCGTCTGTTACTTCCCCACTTCGCCTGGCCCGTTTAACCTCCCTGCAGGGTCCGCATGCGGGGGATTGGCTTACAGCGGCCCCTTCTTCGTCTCAGTTGCAGCTCACTGAAACCGAATGGCGCATCGCTGCTGCTATCCGCCTCGGCCTCCCCATTCCTCACCTCGGCTCTGCTGAATCTTGCGCCTGTGGACATCCCTTCTTAGACCCCTCCCTCCCATCCCATGCCCTAAGAACAACGAGCCTACAAGAGTGCATGACGCCATCAAGCACGAACTGCACCGCATCACCTTGGAGCTCGGCCTCGTGTCGCAGTTGGAAGACCACCACCTCCTTCCAGGCCGCCGACCCGACATCACCTGCAGGGACCTCCAAGCCGGCACCACCTTGGCTTTGGACATTTCAGTAGCCGACCCGCAGCACGGCTTTCCCCACTCCAATGCTGCCACCGTCATTGGGTCAGCCGCAACTACACGCGAGACCGAGAAAGCAACTCTGTACGCACCATCCCTGCGCGCCCGACCTGACGTCAAGTTACTTCCATTGGCGCTCGAGACTTTTGGGTGTTTTGGGAAGACATTCCAGGATTTCCTTCGAGAGTGCAGTCGTCGTGGTGCTTCGCGCCTTCGTGACTTAAGCGGTTCATCCGACCTCATTCCACAATTGTTCGAGACCAGCTTCTACAAGCGCATTTCCCTTGTCCACCAACGTGAGCAGGCCCGCACAGTCTGCAGGCGAGCACAGGTTCGGTTCACAATAGGTACCAGCACCACCCCTTCAGAGGTCACCCCTCCGTCGGCAGCGGACTTTGCGTACTTGGGGAATGATTACTGAATGTGGTAGTCGGACTACTCTTGCTGCTTCCTTTGCTTAGTCTCTCTTAGCTAGCTACCACTTTAACCTTGAGACTCATGTACCTTTGTACCCTTTATATTGTCAATAAAGTGGCTTCAACCGTGGGAGAGTCACCATGGTGAGCGTGCTACAAGTTTGTCATTCCAGAAAATAACAAAATGTATATGAAAGATAAAAGAAGATGGTCCAGACTTCGTTTATAGCACAAGATTCTTATACGAGGCCTCTCTTCGCTCATGGTCTTTTCGTTATCGTTTCCAATTCGCTCAATCCGCTCTGTTGGAAGCATTGGCTGCGTTCTGCAGGCATCTCCCTTGGGAGGGAGGTGGGGGGGCGAAGGGAAATGACGATGGCTCCGAGGCAGTTTCCCCATCGAGTCCCCCCCCCCCCCGCTACAACCGAAAGTTGGAAATTTCGGGTTTAGGGTGCGAAGCTGCTGAAGGTAAATGCCGAAAAAGCAGCCACAATTTCCAGCTCACAGAAGTTGGGTAGATAGTGCTCCGCGAAATCAGAAAAAGGGTTGAAATTTTGAGAAGGGTTACCACGTAAGAAAAAGGGTCCCACCCTGCACTCCCTGTTTGGCCTGTTTTTTTTTTTTTACCTGTTAGTTTGACGCGTCCCTGTTTGGGCTACTCAAGGGAGGGGCTGTTTGCTTTCCAGGGTTCAAGTGTAGTGTTCCCTAACCCAGCGCCTCCCTCCCCCCTCCGTCTCACATCCCGGGCAAGAGCAGTTTTCGAAAGGGGGGGAGAAGGGGGCAATTTTTGCCAGAGAAGGAAGGTGAGGTGGGGAAATAGGCAGCTTCCTACGCCCTCATATCCACGAGGGTAAATGGCTGTTCTGTTGCCATTTACCTTCGTTTACGTTCGGAGGGTAAATGGAGGCTCGGGTCCATTTTCCGAGCTGACCGGGCGTTTGATCCAAAAAACGCAGTTGGGGGAAGGTTCCTATTTACCGCCTCCCCCCCTCTGTCGTGCCTGCAGAACGCAGCAAAGTTTCGTTCCCGTTTCTTCCTCCCTCCCCTTTCTCCTCACCGCTGTTCTCCAAACCTCCCCTGTTCTCTCCATCCGCTAGGGTTTCAACGAGGAGCAGCCAATGAGCGGCCAAGGCCAAAGCTCGGATCACGCTCTTCTGCTCGGCCCCTCAACCACCTCCGCTTCCTCCTCCTACCCTCCGCTCCCCATGCCCAATCCTTCTACTGCTGCTGCTGCTGCTGGTCCCAATGGTGCCGCTGCTGCTCCCCCTCCGCCTTTCCCCTTCCCCCCGCCTCTCTCCCCCTCCGCGCCGTTCTTCCAAATGCCTCCCCCCGCACCTTCATTCCTCCCCTTCTCCCTCTCCCTCCCATTCACCTCCCTCCTCTCTCCCTCGCACCAAATCGACGTTCCTCTGCCGGCCAGCGCGCCGTTTCCCCCGCAGCCCTACTCGCCGCACTCCCCCACCCCGCTTATTGGCTCTGAAGTTGACGCAGCAGTTGCGGCAGCAGCAGCAGCAGCAGCAGCAGGGGGGGCGGCAGGGGGAGCAGCAATGGGGACGCCTGTGTCGTTTCCCGGTCTGGCGCAGCCCATGGGCACGCGAGTACTCTTCTCCCACTCGCCCACGCTCCTAAAATTCACCATCCCTCCCCAGCAATTCTCCCTCAAAGCGCTTCCGCAAATCATATTCGCCCTGGTGAGCTAGACCCTGTCAAGTAAGCTCCTCCCTCCCTCCCTACAGCGACCTCTGATTCAATTCATAAGTCACCTATCAAGTTCTCCTCGCTTTAGCGGGCTTTGAGTTGACACAAGCCACCGTTGTCATCATGTTTCAATATTCATAATACTGTTTTGTGCACTTCATTTCTTACGCCCGTTTTGTCTCCCTTCATTACATTCTCTTCATCCCCTTCTTCCGCCATCTCTCCTGTCTCGTCTCCTCCCCCTCCCCTTCGTCATCCCCCTCCCCTTTTCCCACACATCACCGTCCATGCCCACTCAATTCTGGACGGCCCTCGTCGCCTTTTGAACATCCACAGCAGCAGCAAACATGCTGTCTCAATCCCTCCCTTCCTGCCGTGAAGTAATCCAATCCGTTCTCGCCCTTCCCGCCCTTCCCAACGTTCCCACCACCCACGATCCCTGCTATCGCAGTCCTGGACGGCCTTTGTCGCCTTCTGGACACGCACAGCAGTATCATCCTCTGCAGCGCCTGTCGTCTTCATCCTCTTCTCCCTTCCCTTCTGGGCTGTCGGCATCGGGTGCGTTACATATTCATTCGGTTCAAGCCGTGTCCCTATGAATTGGTCCGCATTATATATATTTTCCTTTGCACACAGGACATGAAATTTAGAATATGAAAAATGAAGTATGAATAGACACTGTCAATCTCTTTGGCCATCTTGATACAACTGATGCAACGGTCCGTTCATATTTTTTTAGTATATTCTCTCTCTGTCGTGCCGAATGACCAGGCAGTCTTCTGTACCCCCGACCCCCCCTTCCCCCCCCCCCTCCCCCTCTTCCCTAACCAACCCCCTCCACAGCAGAAGGCTGGAGGGTCTGGTGTCAGCCCGAGATGTGTTCTTCTAATTGGCTCACACTGTTACACCTGACCTTCCAGCCTTCTGCTGCATTTTGAGTCGGCTCAAAATTCCCCATCAACTACCCTTTCCACAACGCCCCAATTTTTTTCTCACTGGCTGATACCAAACCCTCGGCACGTGGTTTCTGTCCTGCTCTGACCATGCCACCAGTCACGACCCACGACCTTATAAACACTGACATCTCTCCCTCCCACCTCCCCCCATCCTCCCCCCTCCCCCTCCTCCCCGCCAGCCTACTCGCCTACGTGCTACTGCGGCACATCATGGACGAAACAGTGACTGTGGACCCCGCCACGTGTCAGCTGACCATTCGTCGAGCAGTGAACAGGCAAACTCTGCCGTTCTTTGGTCTGTCCACGGCGCACACAGCTCTCATCCATGGCGCAGGAGTCAACTACACCATGCAGGTTGTCACATTCTCCTTTTCCTTTTATGTGCATACAGAACAGACTCTGCCTTTCTTTGGCTTGTCTACGGCTACTATCATGCGGGTTAAGTACTTGCTATCGTACTAATGGGATGCATTACCTACACTACACATGCATCCCAATCAGTGTAGGTAACTGCACTGCCACGAAGCTTCACTCCAGCCCAAGGATCGCCCTGCAATGCCACTGTGGTTTTCCTCTCATTCTGTCAGCAGCTGAGCAACGCACTCTACGAGGCACTCGCCCTCTCAAAGGCTTTACAAAAAATCTCATTTTCTTGTGTGTTGTCCATCTCTTGCTTGTTGCTGCTCCGCTCCCCGCCTGCAGCACCATCAGCATCTCGTGGAAGTACGGCCAACCAATGCCACTATTACCACCACCTCTCTTTCTTCAAAAGTTGCTTGGAGCTTCCGCCCCCATTCCTTCCATCCCACCCAACTCCCCACCTGCAGGACCATCACCATGACTCATGGGAGTACGGTCAATACCAATACCACCACCACCACCACCACCACTCACCACTTACTCCCATGCCTTCCACCCAACTCCCCACTTGCAGGACCAAGACCACCACCACTCTCCACCAATCACGTTCTGCCAGCTCACCATGGCGGGCGGCGAGAGACTCTCTTTCGGCTCTCGCTTGTCGCTAGCAGAGCAGCGCTGGCTCTCCCTGCACATCGCATCCTTCCTGCAAGTGCCCTGGTTCCAGCCACCCTTCCTGCAATCCTATTGACCCAGCCCAGCACTGCCGGCGTTCCTTCATTATTCTTTTCTAGCCAATTCAGCACTACTGGTTGTGTATCATAGCAGAGCAGTGTCAACCGGTTCCTAGCAGAGCAGCGCTGGCTCTCCATCCACATCGCATCCTTTTTGCAAGTGCCCTGGTTCCAGCCACCCTTTCTACAATCCTGTAACACGATAGTGATCGTTCCCTCGCTGAATGCCACTTTCTAGCAAAGCAGCGATGGTTCTCCCTCCACATTGCGTTCTTTCTGCAAGGGCCTTAGTCTCAGCCATCCTTCCTGCGATCATTTTGACTCAAAAGTGAGCACATTTTTTTTATAAATGCATCCAGCTAAGAGTGTTTGGTATCTCTTCGATTGCTGCAGCCCAACCCAACCCAACCCAACAGTGCTGTGCTGCGTGCCAAAGCAGTGTCATGACTGACTATTTGCCGATTTCGAAAAAGGTGCAGTTTAGTAGTGTTTTGTTGTTTGCTAAATTCTAATCATGTGGTTTGCACATACGGTATGTACTTCATGGCTGCAAATTGCCCTAATTGAAGGATCATATGTCAACACTACAATTTATGCAGCTGCTCCTATGCATGCCTGACATACTTAGGCATACGCGCCTCTTCATCATGCACACTATAACCCTCTATCAGCTGCTTATTCACGCTATGCATCTTCTCCCTCACATTCTTGCGCAGTTTCCTCGTGTCTAGCCGACCATTATCCCCGCCCTTTTTCTTCCTCACATGCACCACTGGAGCATCCCTCACCCTCTCCCCTTTTCTCTCCTAGTAATACGTTCGCTTGACAATGCAATATAATGCCAAGGATGGGTAATTGTGCTTTAGCGTTGCCAAGGTCTCTGCGTCAGACTCCTCGCTTGGAAAGAATAGGGCTTGCAGGTTTGGGGCCATATTAAAAGGAGGAGGAATCGCCTTCTCCGGGTCACCATCCTCCTCGTCGTCATATCCGAACTCATCAAAACATTCCAGATAGTCCTCCTCGATTATATAAGCAGCGTCCTCCACTGAAACCTCCCGCAGAATATCATCATCCAGCTCTGTGATCTCCACGACAATCCCGAGGCTGCGCAGGCTGCTCCACTCGACATCCATTTTAGTCAAAGGGACATCATGCCTCGTTATAAGGACCTCCACTGTAGGCGCTACTGCGTGGAGCCAGCTCATCCAGGAGAGCACCGAGCTGGCATCGAAAAGGTTTCCCCAGCGTGAAGGTGGCTCGGCGTCGAAATCCCTGAGGGAGCCATACTTGTCATCTCCTCCAGGAGCATTCAGATAGACAACCCTCGCAGATGCGAAGCAGAGGGAGGGGGTGCGGAGGCGGTCACGAGCGTAGAGAATGAGCTGGTGGAGAGCGAGAGGGGTGTCTGAACGACAAGTGAGCTCGATACAGTCAGCCATGACAGAGAGGGTCGTGAGGGAGGGTGCGAGGTTGAGAGACAGATTAAGCGTGATGTTCAGTAAGAGGAAGCGGAGGGTGTGTGCATTGGAGAAACTGAAACTGTGGGTGAAGGTGCCGAGGCAGTTGCTAGAAGGACACTCGTAGAGAGTAAATTCGGTCAGCTGTGGCGTGATAGCGTCCAGACATTCATATCCCAACGCCATGCGATCCATGTATGCAAGGGTCAGAGTGCGCAGTGACTGCATCCATGTGGCATTCGCACAATTCTCATTCAGCTTCCACTCGCCCCGACCCAGCTTCAGCTGCTGCAGCTGCGAGCAGTCTTTCAGAAAGCCCAGTGTGAAGCCGTCGCGATCCTGCCATCGATCCTGCCATCCGTGCTCCTTAGCCCGGTCATGCAGCCCCAGATCCAGGGATGTGAGCGAGGCGCTGGAGCGTGCAACGAGGGGTCCCAGGGTGCACAGGTGATCTGGCTTGGTGAAGCGCAGGTCAAGGGAGTGGAGGCCGCCGTGGTGGAGGAAGAAGCGGAGGTCGTCCATCCATTGCGGGTCATGATGGTTGCAGATGAGGGAGATCTGCTGACTCTCCTGCAGTGACCGGACACCAGGCACCGTAGGAAAATAAAGGGTCTTGAACTTGTGGTGACATGAATAGGCACACGCAGTGCGTTTAAGAAACATGGATTCGTATTGCAGATGGACTGCATGGGGAAGATGAGAGGACGTGACTCATAGAGAAAAAGTGCACGTGTAGAAAAATTCCTAGGAATTCTAAAAATCACTCACGTGAACGACAGGGAAAAAGAGGACATGCAGGAGGAGTCCCTATACTGAACCGCTCACCTGACTCACTGAGGAGAGGATGTGCAGGCGGATTGTCTAGAAATCTTGACTCACGGAGAAGGAGAGGACCTGCCGGAGGAGGCTCTTGCTGGCGAGAGCGCAGCACAGCAGCGGCCACGAGGCGCCGAACTTGTCCGCATCTCTCCTGTGCCGCTCGCTACCCATGCGGTCAGGATCAGAAGGCACTGGTAGATCCGCATCGCGCAGCTGCTCTCTAGCTGAACGATCCTCTGCGATGACTGCAGGGTCGTCCGGCTGGGATGGTGGCAGCAGAAGGCGGCGGAATATGTGGTGCCAGAGGGGAGCTGGCAGCATGTCCACTGCATCTGACGTGCAGGTTCAAGGGTGGAGACGACAAGGGGATGGAATGGACGAGCAGAATGTTTTATTGATTGAGTTAACGAAGAAAGGAGGAACGATCCAGAATGGAACCGACAATCACGACATTAGCAGTGTCAAGAAATAAATCCAAGGGGTCGTCGGCTTGAGGGTCGAGCCTCAAACGCATCACCCCGAAGCTTTAGAATGCCAATGGAAATTCGTTAACGAAGCTGGAACGAGTCTCACAAGCGTCATTCATTAGTCCTGCTAGATGCGGACCTGAATCGTCCATTGTCTTAGTTCGAATTACTTCGACGACGAGAGCGACTGAGAGCACCGAGACGAGCGGAAGAAAATGAGTCGCCGTGAAACTCGTCGAAAGCGAGTATAACAGGAGAACCGGTACATAGTGAAACCCATTGCTGTGAAACAAAAAACTATTTGCAATGGGCAGATGCCGAACTTCGGAGACAGCTCAAGGCGTCTAGGTGGCGTCTAGGTTCGAGGTGAAAATGGGACTGCCTTGGCTGTGACCGAGGGAGTTCATGCAACACAATCGATGAAAAAAAAATATTATAGAGTCAGGATGCGGTACAATTGCAGATGGTATGTTTTATATGAGAAGGAAATTGTAGATAACAAACATAATTATCCCATTTTGTTGAAACTGTAAGTTTGGGGAAAACTATGGTGATTGGAACAGATTCACGGACCCTATGATGTGAGATGATGCAGCACCGAGCACGAGAGTGAAGCCAGTGCTAGAATGTATTGCGAAGCACATACAAATGGCATCCTGATTTGACGGCCACATACAAATTTGTCAAATGTTATACATGGTATTGATAGGCTATAGGTCTGTAGGGAGTACAACACCTTCTAAGTTTAGCATTTCTATCTTCCACCTTGCTAGTCATCATCATTCCGCTATGCATCACTCTTGAGATGGTATCATGTGTAGGTACGTGTCAAATGTGTTTGTACGTTTGAAGGCTGTAGTGGGGTAGCCTCTACTGAGTACAACACTTGACCTAGTACTTGTACTCATCTCTCATTCCTGCACATTATTTCTGAAATGGTATTCAGAGCAGGTCCATCCGTAGAACCATTCGGTTAGGGCCCACCGTTAGTTCCGTTCTGCCCGTTTTTTCTGCCCCTGGCGCGCCACCAGAATGCGCCCCTAGTGATGCCCGTTTTCTGCCCATAGCGCCCCGCCCCTCGTCCTGCCCGAAGCGCCCCTTTGCATGCCGTTTTTCCCGCCCAAATGGCGCCCCTAGGCGAGCCGTTTTTCCTGCCCGCATCGTGACCCTAGGCGAGCCGTTTTTCCTGCCCGAATCGCGCCCCTAGGCGAGCCGTCTGTCCTGCCCGAATCGCGCCCCTAGGCGAGCTGTTTTTCCTGCCCGAATCGCGCCCCTAGACGAGCCATTTTTCCTGCCCGAATGGCGCCCCTAGGCGAGCCTTTGTCCCGTGCGCCCTGCAGCTCTGCAGCCGACACGCTACCCTGCCCTGTGTCGCGCGCTGCCCTGCCCTGCAGCCCACGAGCTGCACTGCCCTGCAGCCCGCACGCCCTGCAGCCCGCACGCTGCCCTGCCCGCGCAGCCCTGCAGCCCGCGCGCCGCCCTGCCCTGCAGCCCGCGTGCTGCCCTGTCCTGCAGCCCGCGCGCCACCCTACCCTGCAGCTCGCGCGCCGCCCTGCCCTGCAGCCCGCGCGCTGCCCTGCCCTGCAGCCCGCGCGCTGCCCTGCCCTGCAGCCCGCGCACTGCCCTGCCCTGCAGCCCATGAGCCCTGCAGCCCACGCGCTACCCTGCACTGCAGCCCGTGTGAATTGCAGCCCCGATAACCGGTGAGAACAACTGAACCCCGTCCTCCAAGCACGAGCCCCATGCCCGATGTACTGCACAAGTAGCACACTACCCTCTTTGCAGCTTCCCACTGCACCTTTCGGTGTCTACCAGGAGCCACGTAGCGAGCCAGGAGGCTGAGAGGGTACGCGAAGTCAGGTCGTGTGCAGTCATCAGGTACATGAGGCAACCCACAAGCTCTGGGTATGGACCACTCGGCTCTACAGAATCGTCCGAAGGTGGAGCTGAGAGCGAGTGGCTGGTAGACAAAGGAGTGGGCTGTGGCGAGGACCACGAGAAGTCGAAGTGCTGAAGGACCTGCTGCACCAAGTGTGACTGAGTGAGGGTGATGGTGCGGCGTGCTCTGTCCCGTGTGATCTGCAAGCTAAGACAGCTCCGCAGCTCACCCAGGTCAGTGCAAGTGTGTCTCTCCTGCAGCTCCGCCTTCACCAAGGCCAGAGCCTCAGTGTCAGCAGTAGCAAAAACCAAGTCGTCAACGTACACGAGAACATAGAATGGCGGCAGAGAAATGTCTGTGCGCAGAAACAGCACAGGGTCAGCAGTCGAAGGAGCAAAGCCACGAGCCGCAAGTGTAGTTCTCAGTGTGTCGTGCCACTCACGTGGCGCCCGTCGTAGGCCGTAGTTTGGTCGCCGAAGACTCCACTGGGTACACTCAGGATACGACCCAGTGAAGCCACGTGGGCGGTGCAACCAGATAGCCTTGTGAAGGCTGCCCTTCAAGAAGGCTGTTGAGAAGTTGAGGGAGTGAAGCTCGTAGTCAAGGTGGCACAAAGATGCAAAGTCAACAAGCTAAGCAACTAAGGCACACGCTGCAGCAGACTCAAAGGAAGGGTCAGTCACAACAGTGGCAAGGAGACTAGTGACAGTCGGACTGGCAGTATGGACAAGGTCTGACTCAGGGTCAGGGACGTGAGGAAGAGAAGACGCAAGAGGAGACGGCTTCTCCAGTAGCACCTCCAGTGTCAGCACCGCCAGTACCCTCAACTCCAGGAACAACAGCACTAGCACCTATAGGGCCAGCACCACCAGTACCTCCAATAGCACATGTGCCTCCAGCACCAATACCTCCAGCACGGCCAACTCTAGGAACACCAGCACTAGCACCTCCAGGGCTAGCACCTCCAGAAACTTAAGCTCCAGCACGTCCAGCGCCACCACCAGGACTGCCCCAATGGAAAGCCCACTCGCGAAGCCGCTCCGGCGAGAGAGGCTCCTGGTGACGTGAGCCAGGACTATCCGCAGTAGCACCCACAGCAGCAGCACCTCCAGTACCTCCAATAGCACCTGTGCCTCCAGCACCAATACCTCCAGCACGGCCAACTCCAGGAACACCAGCACTAGCACCTCCAAGGCTATCACCTCCAGAAACTGAAGCTCCAGCACGTCCAGCGCCACCACCAGGACTGCCCCAATGAACAGCCCACTCGCGAAGCCGCTCCGGCAAGAGAGGCTCGTGGCGACGGCCAGGACTACCAGCAGTAGCCCTCACATCAGCAGCACCTCCAGTACCTCCAGTAGCACCTGTGCCTCCAGCACTAGTACCTCCAGCATGGCCAACTCGAGGAACACCATCACTAGCACCTCCAGGGCCAGCACCTCCAGAACCTGCAGCTCCAGCACGTCCAGCGCCTCCACCAGGACTGCCCCAACGGACAGACCACTCGCGAAGCCACTCCGGCGAGAGAGTCTCCTGTCGACGTGCACCAGCACCACCATCACAACCACCAGCACCACCAGCACCTCTAGCAGAACCTCCAGCAGCAGCACCTCCAGCACCCACTGCACCCGTAGGACTCGCAGCACCCCCAGAGCCAGCACCCCCAGAGTCTGCACCCCCAGTGTCACCACTTCCAGCAGCACCAAAGTCCACAGCGACGTGCCGCAGAGGTGGTGAAGACGGTCGAGGCGGAAAACCAGGAGGGACCGCCAAGCGTGCGGAGCGGCGAGGGGCCACGGTGTCGGTAGCAGTCTGGTCACCCCCCTCAGCTGGGCCGGAGGTGTCCGAGGAGACCTCCAAAGGCTCAACCAAGGGGGGTGGGTCTACCTGAGACACACCTGAGTGAGCAGGACCGGGAGGAGGGAGGGGGGCTACCGGGGGTGGTCGTCCACCAGGGAGAGAGGCGGGATGGGTACCGGGGAACTGCGGTGGGGGTGAAGACGGTAGAAGCAGACGGACTCGTCACAGATGACGTCGCGGGAGGACAGCATACGACAAGAGTCCAGGTGGTAAAACTGCTAGGATAGTGCGTCGGTGGGAAAGCCAAGGAACACGCACCAAAGAGTGAGTGGAGAGAGCTTGCCCACAGGCAAATCGCGGACAAGAGAGGGGGAACCCCAGACCCGAAACGCCGACGCATCACCAACCTCGCCCGTCCACCGCAAGGTGGGGAAGGTCTCTGGGTGGGAGACACGGGGCCAGAGGTAGCGCTGCTCGGCGACGTATTGGACCGCAAACGGCCACAGAAAATGGGGAGCAGCCGAATGGATCATGCAGGTGCGAGCAACCTCCATGACTAGACCAATGCGGCGCTCGGAAATCCCATCCTGCCGTGGAGAGGCCGGAAGCGTGTACGACTAGACGATGCCCTCAGTACCACAGAAGAGGCGAGACCCACTTCAGTGAGGCGGGAGCAAAACTCACCACCTCGGTCAGAGTGCAGCCGCAGGACTGGGAAGTCCTCACGGAACCGAGCGCGAAGCTGGAGACGGACAGCGAGGATCCAGCGAATCAAGACACCATGAACATCCACCTTGCTCTGCAAGGGGAAGACCATGGTGTAGCGCGTGTAGTCGTCTACAACCAGCAGAAAGTAGCGCTCGCCACCCTGTCCAGTGACGCGGGCGGGGCCTCACACGTCCATGTGCATGGTCTGCAGAGGAGCAGTGGTAGGAGGAAACGAGGAGTGAGGAGCGGTGCGCTGCCGCGCCTTGATGCAGGGAAGGCAGGGCGGTGCAAGCGACCTCGGAAGTAGGGGCAGGGACCTGGGGAGACCAGACACAAGGAGACGGGAGTGCATGCCACGCATGCGTGGCAAGGAGGGGTGGCCAAGACGGTGGTGTCAGAGGAGAGTCTGGTGCGTGAGGAGACGACACGAAGAAGACGCAGCGACCTCAACCGACGCAGCTACCTGGCATGACTCAGCTACCAGTGCAGACTCAGTGGTAAGTGTGTGTAGGCCAGACCTAGGCCTCCGAGTGAATGTGGCGAGGTGCTCACCAGTGCGCGAGTCTGTACAGATTGCCACTAGCTCGCCTCCAGGCTGGGTGACAGTGACCCACTGGTCCTGGAGAACAGAGGTAGCCACCAAGTTTTTAGCGAACGAGGGGAGGTGGACCTATGAGCAGGCCGGAAGGGGCCGCCGAACAAGGGAGAACAGTAGTGCCACGCGCGACTACCAGCCCTCCGGAGGGGTCGACCAGTGTGACAGGG